ACTACTACTACTACTACTACTACTACTACTACTACTACTACTACTACTACTCTACTACTACTACCACCACCACCACTACTACTACTTCTCTACAAAAGGTGCGGAAAAGCCACAAGGAAGTTCAAAGGAAGTTTGCCAAAAAAGCAAAGGAAGTTCAAAGGAAGTTTAAAGGAAGTTCAAAGGAATTTCGGCAATGAGCAGAGGAAGTTCAAAGGCAGTTTGCCCATGAGGCAGAGGAAGTTTCAAGGAAACTTCCTTGAAACTCCCTCGTCTGCCGAGGAGCTTTCTGCTGTCTAAGACAAAAAAAATTTGTCTAATTTGTAAAGATAAAGTTGTCTTAGACAACGGGGAGTTAAAAAAAAATTGTCTAAGTTAAAAAACAAAAATCTAACTATTAGTTAGATTTTTTTTTAAAACTATTAGTTAAGTTTTTGTCTTAGCGGGTCTTTAGGGTCTTCGGTCCATTCCAGTACTCCACATAGAATGTAACTCCATACTGTGGAATTATCTCGATGCTTCCTCTATCGCAAGTCACCTCAATCTGCCGATATCCAACCTTTTGAACTTGTTGTGGGTCAGGAGCAAGGTCCTTCACTTTGGGCATCTTTATTCCGAGTGCTGCAGCCTCCTGAATAAGTGCATCAAGTTCCCACTTTCCATTGGGACCTGATCTATCAACCCTGTGATTTGCGACCCTGTACTCTCCTCCTTCTTTGTCATCGGCAATGTCAAAGAGGTCGACGGGCTCTTTGAATCTGGTGACGAAACTGGCGTTCCCAAAGGCCTTCTTGGTTGCCTCGACCGCTTTCGCGTATTCCTCTTTTGCAGAGTCTGACGAGTGTGGTCTACCTTTGGCTCTCGGACAGTGAGGTGGTACCTTACCTCCTAGTTCCGGTTCTTCTTCGGGAAGTTCAATATCTTCATCATCCACATCCATGTAGTCCTCGTCTTCGACGTCTTTGGATGACTTTGCTTTCCTCTTTCGGCTTTCAACATCACGTCGGATGATTGCCTTGTCGTCCTCGGTGAAGCACTTGCGCATAGTGTCCTCCATGTGAGAGAATGAGTTCATCAACTCGTCCTTCTTCTCAGTGTTGGGACAAATAGCCAGGTGATGTTGGTTTGAACCACAACAATAGCACACCTTTTGGCTCACTGCGCGTGCTCTGACCCTTCTGAGGTTGTCATAGGCGGTTTTCCAGTTGGAAGCGGTTGCTGTACCTTGCCCACTGCGCTTGGCAGCTCTTTTCCGTTCTTCAGTATCTGGATTCGATGTCGGGTAGTGCGACCATGTTTTCGTCGGGGATACTGAACGACCTTCCCCATCCTTGTAGTCTTGCGGATCAAGCTCAGGCGTAGGTGGTTCAGGCTCCTCGACTCCTGGAGTGGTACTCGCAGGGTCGGCTTCGCCATCCTTCATCTCTACATCAGGCTCTTCCGTAGACGTTCTTTTGGGCTCTGGGGCTATGGCCAGTCGTACCATTCTCCTGAACTCTGGTCTGGTATCATACCTGGACATGACGGCATCGATACAGGCTTGTTCTTCAGCTGTAACATGGAGCCCTGAAGGTTTATTCCTCTTGGTGTTGTCATTGATTGATTTTCGGCTCGCTGCATAGAAGTGAAGAAAAGACATTTCTATACCTCTTCTGCATTCATTGATCTGAGCCCAATCCTCGAACAGCGTGTCTTTGAAGATGCCGGCCAGTTCGAGAACACCAGTCCAAAACTCCATGATATCGCCCGCAAGCTCAGAATTTGTAACAGTCCTATATTCATTCAACGAGAAGACGTCCTGGTACTCTTTGTGCGTGAAGAAATATTGGATGTAGTCGTGGTACGCCACATTCCCATAGTCCATATACGCTCGGAAGCCATAGTCTTCACTGTCTGGATCATAGTCTCGGTGGATGAAAAGAGTGGATCCCTTCCCTTGGGTACAGTACTGTTCCACAAGTTCCGACAGGGCTCTGATTCCACCATGATGCGAAATAGCTTTCAATGCTCCTTGAATCCAAGGCGGATTCTTCCTGGATAGCATCATCGCACCCTCGACCATGAATTCACGGAGATTCTGCGCTGGATACAAACGGTTCCATTCAGCATTCTTCTCCCAAAGGACTCTAACTCTCACTGCAGTTTCCCAAATGCTTTCTCTTTCTTGTTGAATCGTGGGAGTGCCGCTCTGAACACACCAAAAGTTGAAATTGCAATTCACACAATGGCTTCTATCGTCTTTGTGTGTGTTCCAATCCTCGGATGCATCATGTTTGTTGCAATCTTCACAAAGATATGGTGCGGCATCTGCAGTGGCTTTGTAATTCTCAACTCTCCGATTTCCCGTCATCCAATATTCCATCCTGTCCTCCTCAGGCTCCGGATCTTTCAGAACGAATCTGATGTCCCTCCATTCGGTACCTTGACTGAAGCTCCCACCAACAGTATGCTTCGTGCTGGTCTTCTTCGGTTGCCCATCACTCGCCGACATAGCAACGTTCAAGTACCTGTCGAAGTTGTCCTGAGAAATTGGGACCTGGATCTCGTCCTCTGCCATGTTGTTCAAAGCACTGACATGAACTTTATTCATTGAACACAATAGGATGACCCTTTCTCTCGTGAGTTGTTTCTCCATCACAGCCCAAATCTTGTTCTTGTCGCCACCCGTGATATAGTTCGCACTGGGAGCACCTGCAACTGAGTACACAGCTTTCCAGGTACGTGACGATTTGGTGGCCAAGGCACCACTTCGTCTCACTTGGTCTACAATGTCGGTGACAATGTGACTGTGATCATATCTTGCTGGCCCGAAGAACTTTGAATCTGGCTGGATGTTCACTAATACTGGAGTAGTCAGGAGCTGTCCGATCGAATGGACCTTCTCAGCCAACTTCCTTGAGAACTCTTTGAATGTCGCCTCGGTCAACCTCAGTGTGCTGCCGTTCGGAAACATACAATGAAGACACAGCCAGATGTGGACGGTTGTACCGTCCCCCTGATCTTGTCCATGTTCTTCCAAGAAAACGACTACTCTATCAAGAGTATCCAGGATGTCTTGATGCCTTTCTCCCTGAACTTGGAATACACAGCAATTTTCGAATGCCATCTCAGTTCGGATACCGTACTGCATCGTCGTGATTTTCTTTGACGAACTTGCTCTAGTCGCATAGTCAAGGTCTGTCACAAGAATGGTGTGTCCGGTACCGACTCCTCTAATCTGGCCACTCAAATGATCAACATCCATGACTCCTGTATCCCCGTCAATCATCACCTTGTCCTTCTCCTCGGTGTGGCACCCAACTTTGGATGAAAGGAACTTGATGTGATATGCGGCCTCCTCTGGCACATCGTTCAACTTCAGGATAAGTACCATGGCCCTTGCTGAGGGATACTGAAAACAACTTGTCAGATCGAACTCTTCAACCATCTCAACATAGAGCTTTGTCCAAAAACCATCGCTCTCGTTCACTTTTGTCCTCAAATGAGAATCGATGAGAGGTTGAAGCCCCATTGATGAACTCGATCTATAATTTCCACCCAAAGTCACCCCGACATAATACGTGAGCCTTCTCACATACTGTCTCCAATCTCTTCCTGGCTCGGCTGTACGAGGACCAGCAAACGGAGCTGTAGCGTAAGCAGTGGTACTGCTTCGATAAGTCCAGAGATTGAATATGATGGGTTTGCCAAGGTAGTCCATACCGTTGCACCCGATAGTCGTCACACCTTCAGGAGGAAGCGTGACAAACCATTCTTGTGGCTGTGCAGGCTGTTTCGGCTTCGGCATGGGTTTGCACTTTGGCGGAGCTTTCGGTGGAGGTCGTGGAACATCATACGCTCCATGAGGTACATCGGATGACCAAGGATCCCATTGTTCATTGTTCCTTTCCCAAGGTGGCCTAGGACCTGAACTAGATGAAGTGTAAGGACCGCCCGGTGGTACCGAACTTCCTTTTCCTCCAAAAGTCTGGGTATAGTCATCACGATTCTTTGGTGCTCCACTTTGATCTCTTGCCCTTCTTGCTTCCTCCCTCATCCGTTTGGTGATTTCATCCTGACTAAGCCCTTTGTTCTTGGCATGATGGATCCGAAATTGACACAACCATTGAGGTTCCACCGCACTGAAATCTTTCAGATTGGGTGGTCCGATTGAGGGATTCTCGAAGGTTAAGTAGATCTTCTCCTTTGGCTTGCCCAAGGTCTCTAGATCTGGTTCTTCATCCAGGTTGGCTTCGGATAAATGGAGCTCTGCAATGTACTGATTCAAGATACTGATCGATGTGTCCCTTGCGAGAAGGTCTCGAT